ACAGAGACACCCAGGGCCAGCGTCAGCATCTGGGGACATTGGGGACATTGGGGACAGGAGCAGCACAGAGACCCCCAGGGCCAGGGTCAGCATCTGGGGACATTGGGGACAGCACTGGGGACAGCATTGGGGACACTGGGATGGCATTGGGAACAGGGACAGGAACAGCACCGAGAGCCCCAGGGCCAGGGTCAGCATCTGGGGACACGGGGAATTTGGGGGGAAAAAAGGGGGATTTGGGGCATTCCCGATGTCCCATTCCCGTTCCCATTCCCATTCCCATTCCCATTCCCAGTCTATCCCAGTCTATCCCAGTTTCTCACCTCCAGTTCTGGGCTGGCCACCAGGAATATCCTGGCTCTGATGTCTTTCCATCGGCTCTCTGTCCATTCCCATATCCCATATCCCATATCCCATATCCCATATCCAATATGCCATATCCCATATCCCATATCCCATACCCCATTCCCGGTTTATCCCATTCCCATTCCCATTCCCAGTCTATCCCAGTCTATCCCAGTTTCTCACCTCCAGTTGTGGACTGGCCACCAGGAATATCCTGGCTCTGATGTCCTTCCATCGGCTCTCTGTCCATTCCCACTTTATCCCATTCCCAGTTTATCCCAGTTTATCCCGGTTTATCCCAGTCTATCCCAGTCCATCCCAGTTTCTCACCTCCAGTTCTGGGCTGGCCACCAGGAATATCCGTGCCCGGATGTCTTTCCAGCAGCTCTCCGTCCATTCCCATATCCCATTCCCCATTCCCATTCCCGGTTTATCTCATTCCCAGTCTATCCCATATCCCATTCCCAGTCTATCCCAGTTTACCCCAGTTTCTCACCTCCAGTTGTGGACTGGCCACCAGGAATATCCTGGCTCTGATGTCTTTCCAGCGGCTCTCTGTCCATTCCCGGTTTATCCCATTCCCGCTTTATCCCAGTTTATCCGATTCCCATTCCCAGTTTGTCCCAGTTTATCCCAGTCTATCTCTCACCTCCAGCTGTGGACTGGCCACCAGGAATATCCTGGCTCGGATATCTTTCCAGCGGCTCTCTGTCCATTCCCATATCCCATATCCCGTTCCCATTCCCTGTTTATCCCAGTCCATCCCAGTCTATCCCAGTTTATCCCATTCCCAGTCTATCCCAGTTTCTCACCTCCAGTTGCGGGCTGGCCACCAGGAATATCCTGGCTCTGATGTCTTTCCATCGGCTCTCTGTCCATTCCCGGTTTATCCCATTCCCGCTTTATCCCAGTTTATCCGATTCCCATTCCCAGTTTATCCCACTCTATCCCATTCCCAGTCTATCCCAGTCTATCCCAGTTTCTCACCTCCAGCTGAGGACTGGCCACCAGGAATATCCGTGCCCGGATATCTTTCCAGCGGCTCTCTGTCCATTCCTGGTTTATCCCATTCCCGGTTTATCCCAGTTTATCCGATTCCCATTCCCAGTTTATCCCAGTCTATCCCATTCCCAGTCTATCCCAGTTTATCCGATTCCCATTCCCAGTTTATCCCAGTTTATCCCATTCCCACTCTATCCCAGTCTATCCCAGTTTCTCACCTCCAGTTGTGGACTGGCCACCAGGAATATCCGTGCCCGGATATCTTTCCATCGGCTCTCTGTCCATTCCCATATCCCATATCCCATTCCCATTCCCGGTTCATCCCATTCCCAGTCTATCCCATATCCCATTCCCAGTCTATCCCATATCCCATTCCCAGTCTATCCCAGTCTATCCCAGTTTCTCACCTCCAGCTGTGGACTGGCCACCAGGAATATCCGTGCCCGGATATCTTTCCATCGGCTCTCTGTCCATTCCCCATTTATCCCATATCCCATATCCCATATCCCATTCCCAGTCTATCCCAGTTTGTCCCAGTTTACCCCAGTTTCTCACCTCCAGCTGAGGACTGGCCACCAGGAATATCCTGGCTCTGATGTCTTTCCATCGGCTCTCTGTCCATTCCCATATCCCATATCCCATATCCCATATCCCATATCC